GGCTTTTCACGATAAGCGTTAATTAGATATTTCTGGCAAACCAGGCAACAGATAAATCTAAAAATTCGGAGGTATGTATAAATTAACATGATCTACACGTCTGAAATATTTGAAACAATCCGGCGTTGCCGCTTCTACTCGAAAGTAGCAGTAACTGGATGCTTCCTGAAGAGCTGATTTAATCGATTCACAAAGTTCGGGGTCTAGTGGGACTAATAACTGAGATATTCAGAGTGAAAAAAATCGAGATGTTTCAACTTTAGAATTATTTTGCGAAAATATTTATTATCGATCAAAACGGCTTTTATGTCCCTATCTTAACTTTGTATCTATTGACATTTAATCGAAACAAATACAGGATGGTTCATAATTCAGATTTCTGCACCACCCTGTATCTGTTTCATTGAATATCGAATGGAAAGTTGAGATAGGGACATTGAAGCCGTTTTGACCATGCAATAATAAATAGTTTCAACACAAAACATTTCTGAAGTTGAAACATCTCGATTTTCCACATCCTATATCTGTTATCAGTCCCGCTAGACCTTGAATGTTTTGAATCCATGAATTCTGCTGTTCAGCAAGAATCCAAGAATGTAATGAAATACAGGGTGTCCCATTTGAAGAATCGAAGTTGCTGCTACTTTCTCGTAGAAGCGGCAAGGCCGGATCGTTTCAAATATTTCAGTAGAGTAGATTATGTTAATTTATACAGACCATCGAAATTTCAGATTTATCCGTTGCCTGGTTTGCCGAAAACGTCAAATTAACGCTCATCGTGAAAAGCCCTGTATAGTTTTGATGACGGACCTGCAACTAAGTCTGGAACAAAGAACGATATGAAATACTCCTTCTGAATGTAATACTCAAGTATACTGAATAGGAAGTGATGAAATTAATAAATCTCGTCTGATTCCAATTTTGTACCCCAAAATGAGCAGAAATAATATTTTGAGCACATATGAATAGTTAAAATCGTCTGTGCACGAATAAAAAGCACATCGTTGAATAGAAATTTTGATGTTCTTTTCAGATATGGCAAAAAAAAATGAGAAATTCGAATGTATAGGGTGTTGTTTTCTGACAGAAAGAATTTGTGAATTTTAAGTGAAGCCGGACCTGGATTTTATCTTTCGTTGTTGCCTCAATCAATTCCACAGGGTAGATTGAGCAAGTGTACAAATTTTTTAAAATATATACAGGTTGGTTGGAAAGTTATGAGACAATGAAGATATGGACGAAATTGATGAAACATCCTGTATCTCGGTTATAAGAAGTCGAAGACCCATCAACCATGGGTTTTTTGAAATCACCTCAGTGACCCCTATCCACAGTTGAATTATTTACCTTTCCCAATGAAACACCCTGTATAAGTGTGACCCACCTAAGACCGGAGCACCCTTATAAAATCGATAGTTTTTAACCGATTTCTTTTTTTTTTGTTTCCGCAGGAGGACTATCCGGAGATCTACGTTTACACAAATTTGCAAAATCAAATTTCAATCTACAGGGCATGCTATGTTATTTTTTCCATGTTCAAAATTGCGAAATCATTGAAATTTCTGGTATACATTTGAATTGATAACACAGATTATTATCGAGTTATAACATCTGAAATGGAATTTATCTTGGTATTCGTGAAAAGATTCATAAAATGAAAAATCCATAACGTCGAGAAATGGCTTCTCACAATAATTATCATCAACCAAGAATTTTCGTATCAAATAATAACTCCATCTCAATTTTATCATTTCCAAATTTTCAACCATCAGCCATCGTACAAATAAGTTCAATAATATACATCATTGAATAATCTCGGTCCATAACTATCTAGCCCTAATCAATACATTTCAAATTTTTGTTGCTTCCACTAAACCAACATTCAATTGAATACATTTTTCATATCTATTTCTCACGATGTTCTTTGAACATTACAGGGATTTCCTTCCGTGCGCTCCAAGAGATAAAAAAAATGTATTTTTGAGTCCTTCGGGTGTTACTTCCCTACAAGCTTGACGTATTCTTTCACATAACTCCCGTCTAGTTCTTGGGCGGGTTTTGTAAACTTTTTGTACAAGAAAACCCCACAAGAAGAAGTCAAGAGGGGTTGAATCGGGAGACCTGGGTGGCCACTTCCTCGACCAATCCAGCGACGAGGGAACTGTTCATTCAGCCATTGTCTGATAATCCTAGCATGATGCACTGAGTATAGCCATCTAATTGAAAATGTAGATCATTCCAAAAGGGTGCCATTCTAGAGATTATAACTAGATAATCATTTGTGGTATTAATTCAAATGTATACCAGAAACCTCAATGATTTCCAACATTTGTGTTGACAATGTTGCCGCTTCTCAGAATTTGTCTGAAATATTCATAAAAAATGGTGAGCAATCAAAATTATTGTTGTTATAACTTTGTTGCCAATTGAAATTTTTCAATGAAATTTTGCGCTCAACCTAATTGAAGGTTGCTGAATTCAGTGGTGGGGTCGATTAACGTTAACGCATCTCAGCATTTATACCATACGAGGTGTCGTTCGAAGTCCGCCAAATGAAAACGCGAACGCCGAACGCCACCTGGCAAGGAAAGAAACACTCCAAAACAAAATCCTCTTTACTTGCCAGGTGGCGTTCGGTGTTCGCGTTTTCATTTCGCGGACTTCGAACGCCTCGTATGGTATAAATGCTGAGATGCGTTTACGTTGGGTCAGGTTCGCACCAGATAGCGGTCAAGAAGCTATCTGGGACAGCCCTGTACTGATGAGAGCCAACAGCTCGAAACCGGTCTGCAGGTAGTCAGCGTTCCTGAACCACTTAAGCGCAGCTCAGCGTTTAGGAAGGAAACACTTGCGATTTTATTCGTTTATACGAACAAAGGTGGATATATGTATGGTGAAATAGCTCCCTCTTACAAAACCCAAGAGATTTTTGTAGACCTCTGGCCTACTTGATTATGTCGAATTCTATCACCGTAGTAAGGCCGCGCAAAACTAACGCTAGATGGCGCTGTTCCCGAAGTGATCTTGCTACACAATGGTTGTATTGTTTTGTTGTTTTCATTTACGTATATTAATTCGTAATTCAAAAACATTGAGAAAAAGTGATTGATTTAATGAAAAAGACGTGAAATTTTCATTATATCTGTGAAGTATATGTGGCACGATGTTCCCTACGCCATCTACAGTCAATCCGGTGCGGCCTTTGCTACGGTGTTTCGCGGTCTACACGTTTTGGAAAGAAACAATTGACAAGTGGTTACACCAGTCTATTTTCATCATGATACGAACTATCGCATAGATTTCGGGAGGATGTAATCCAATGTTCTGCGTGGCATATAGCCAGGAAAGTAGTTTTTCTCTCGTTATCTACCATTTTCGTTCATTTTATGAACTAGTATGTGTGGTATGTGGTAATGACTTTGAGTTTCGCTCTCTTTGTGAAACACTATTCTGTTGACATTCATTTGAATGTGTGTGCTTTATATGATTCCGCGGTGACCTCTCATATTTACTTATTTCTCAATCAATACTCTTTTCTACCTCGCCTTATTGTGTACAAACACTATTCTGTTGACATTCATTTGAATGTCTGTTGCTTTATATGATTCCGCGGTGACCTCTCATATTTACTTATTTCTCAATCAATACTCTTTTCTACCTCGCCCTGTGTACAAACACTATTCTGTTGACATTCATTTGAATGTCTGTTGCTTTATATGATTCAGCGGTGACCTCTCATATTTACTTATTTCTCAATCAATACTCTTTTCTACCTCGCCCTGTGTACAAACACTATTCTGTTGACATTCATTTGAATGTCTGTTGCTTTATATGATTCCGCGGTGACCTCTCATATTTACTTATTTTTCAATCAATAGTCTTTTCTACCTCGCCCTGTGTACAAACACTATTCTCAACTAGGGAAAAAGCCAAATACTCAAAGTGGAATGCAATGGTCACAAAGAGAAACTCATCATTACCACATACTATATAGAACGGCTAGGCTCTGGAATTCATTGCCTGTGGAAGTATTCCCAACAACATATAATCTCCAAAAGTTCAAAAAAAATTCTAATACCTACCTCCTGTCCCTATCCTCCCTAGGAACGCACGATGTTCTATGAACATTATAGGGATTCCCTTTCGTGCGCTCCAAGCGATAAAAAAAAATATGCCACGCAGAACATTGGATTATATCCTCCCGAAATCTATGCGATAGTTCGTATAAACGAATAAAATCGCAAGTGTTTCCTTCCTAAACGCTGAGCTGCGCTTAAGTGGTTCAGGAACGCTGACTACCTGCAGACCGGTTTCGAGCTGTTGGCTCTCATCAGTACAGGGCTGTCCCAGATAGCTTCTTGACCGCTATCTGGTGGGAACCTGACCCAACGTTAACGCATCTCAGCATTTATACCATACGAGGTGTCGTTCGAAGTCCGCCAAATGAAAACGCGAACGCCGAACGCCACCTGGCAAGGAAAGAAACACTCCAAAACAAAATCATCTTTCCTTGCCAGGTGGCGTTCGGTGATCGCGTTTTCATTTGGCGGACTTCGAACGCCTCGTATGGTATAAATGCTGAGATGCGTTTACGTTGGGTCAGGTTCGCACCAGATAGCGGTCAAGAAGCTATCTGGGACAGCCATGTACTGATGAGAGCCAACAGCTCGAAACCGGTCTGCAGGTAGTCAGCGTTCCTGAACCACTTAAGCGCAGCTCAGCGTTCAGGAAGGAAACACTTGCGATTTTATTCGTTTATACGAACTATCGCATAGATTTCGGGAGGATGTAATCCAATGTTCTGCGTGGCATATAGCCAGGAATCCAGGAAAGTAGTTTTTCTCTCGTTATCTACCATTTTCGTTCATTTTATGAACTAGTATGTGGTAATGACTTTGAGTTTCTCTCTCTTTGTGAAACACTATTCTGTTGACATTCATTTGAATGTGTGTTGGTTTATATGATTCCGCGGTGACCTCTCATATTTACTCATTTTTCAATCAACTCTTTTCTACCTCGCCCTGTGTACTGACAGTATTCTGTTGACATTCATTTGAATGTCTGTTGCTTATATGATTCCGCAGTGACCTCTCGTATTTACTTTTGAATTCGCATAATTCACATTTGAACAATTCCTCTTGTGGAACATCCCGATGAATTATTGAGTGATTCGTAAAAGTAGACCTATTTTTTGTCGAGAAGGGACACTGGTCACACTCATAAATATCGTTCACACTCTCCTTATGTTTCCTGTTGATATGCACACTTAGACCCCTAATGTTATCAGTTTCGAAGGGGCAGCATGCACACTGAAACTTTTCTTTACTTTTATCAGGTTTGACATTACTTTTAGCCAAAGAGTTGTGCATATCACGTAGGTGATTTCTGAGACTCTTCGGATATCTAGTTTTGAAGTCGCATTTAGTGCATTTCAGAGCTGGTGCCTTATGTACAGACTGATGATTAATAATGCTGGCTAACCATTTCGAGCTGAAAGAGCATATTTTACATTTATATAACTTTGTACGTAAACCATGACGAACATTGATATGTTGGCTGATGCATTTTCTGTGTTTTGTTTCGAATGAACACATGGGACATTTGAATGTAAAATTACTATGTCTCACTTGGTGGTGTGATTTTAGTACACTGGCCCATTTCGTTTTGAAACTGCATTTATCGCATTTATGCATTTCTTCATCTGGAATCTCCTTATGTTTGACTTGGTGGAGTTTGAAATAGTGTTTGTTCGGAGTTTGGTAGTCACAAATATCGCATTTGAACTTTTTCTTTTCGTGACTGATTTTTAATTTCACATTACCATGTTTGGTGGTTGCATGATTAGCAAGTCCATTTCCTGTCTTCGATGCAAAATCGCAAATTGGACATTTAAAATGTCTGATATGTCGTTCAGTGAAATACTTATTTTTGAGACTCTGCTTTTTTGGTCGGTCGTGAACCTTATGAAGGTGATTATAAAGGCTTAATATACCGAATGTTTCATGAATACAATGCGGACACTTATGGAGCGTCATTTTGTTATCATCTCTGTCATGAATCTTTTCATGTTTTTTCAATGTTGATCTTCTTGGCGTTCTGAATTCGCAAACTTTACATTTCATTAATTCCGACTCTAATGGTTTTTTATGAATAAGCAAATGACATTTAAGATTCCTTTTTTTCAAACTTTTATAAGGACAAAGCTCACAATTAAAAGTTTTCTTCTCTTTACATACATGGTTTTCCATGGTTGAACTTTTTTTGGTATGGAAAGTACATTTGTCGCATTTATAAATAGTATTTTCTTTGTGTGTAATAACATGTCTTCTAAGTGATATTTTATGTTTTGTTGTGAAGGAACATGTGTCGCATGCAAATATTTCCGCGTCATCGGAATGCTTTGTTTTGATATGCTTTTTCAATACGTCCTCATATTTGGTCTCTAAGGGACATTCTGGACACTTGTACATTTTGAGTCCACTTTCATGAGATAATATATGTACTCTCATATATGGTAAATATTTCGTTACAAAAGAACAAACCGGACAACCAAATCTACCATCTGGCATTTGTCGTACCCCAAACTGCTCCTTTCTGGCGTTTCTGTGAATGAAAAAATACTGAAAATACAAGAGGGTTCAATGTCCATAAAATCAGACGTGGGATTATAAAAATGAGAAAGCGATTATATATGTACAAGGTGTCCCAGAACAACGTACCATAAATTCTACATGGTGAATAATAGAAACCAAAATATGCCGATTATTAAAATCAACTTACCTCTTCTATAAGAAAATGCATCATTGAGCCATGACAGAGCGTTGAAAAATCATTTATTTTTAGATACTGCTCTAAAATTCGTAGAGCAATTTACTATCGTGAATATGCATGAAACACGACGACATGTCATACCAATTCAATCAATCAATCAATAGGTATTTCGCATTCTCTCTGATGAAAATTGATGTAACTTTTTGGGAGTGCGCCACTGACAATATTCTGATGTTTCAATGAACGACAAAATCATCTTACTTTCTTTTGATTGAAGTTTTCCAATAGTTTTTCTTGTCTTTTGAGATATTCAACAAAATTTATTTTGGTATTTCTCCATACTTGTTTATAAAGCCAGGATTATCATGTTTTTAAGTTTCTACCTCATTTGTGTTGAGTTATTGACCACAATTATCATGGTCGCCATTTCGCAAGCTCTTCATATCTTATGATTTGGGAGCTGCTCATTTACTCATTTCCAAATTTCAATTCTTTTTTCTAAAAAAAAAACATTAGAGAAAAAGAATTGAAGGTTGCCAACAAACTCTGAAGCTGAAGTAGTACAACTGATAAATTATGATTATTGTGGTCAATAACTCAACACCAATGAGATAGAAACTTGTAAAACATGACAATCCTGACATCATGAGTAAATATGGAAAAGCCTCAAAATGTGTTTTGAGTTATTTTTGTTTGATGTAACTTTTTTGGAGTGCGCCACTGACCACATTCTGATGTTTCAATGAACGACAAAATCAATTATCTTACTTTCTTTTATTTGAATTTTTTCAATAATTTTCCTTTATTTTCTAGATATCCAACAAAATTCATTTTGTTATTTCTCCATACCTACTTGTTTATAATGCCAGGATTATCATGTTTTTGAGTTTCTACCTCAGTTTTCAACAAAAAGAATGTGAAATACCTATCTCCCTCTGTATTATTAAAATTGTTATGAATGTTTTTCATACACATTCACGATAGCGAGTTGCAGTGGCGGCTGGTGCTCCTTTTTCTACTAAAAAAACTGACGATCTTCATATTTTTACCATATTTATAATGGCCACGATATAATGGCCATCAGATCAAGTAACATCAATCACTTATGCTTACGACAAAAAAACAGAAATGGTGTAAGTTCACTTTTGATAGTGTTCAATAAAATTCTGATAAATAATTGAATTTCTATTCCCATTTCAAAGAGAATTCGTACAGCGACATCTATTAGAAAAATATGTGAATAAGATGCATCAAGAACATTGCGATTTTCAACTGTTTATTGCCGTCAAGTGTGGGCACACCATAACTTATGAACATCACAGTCGAGTCACACGTGCTCTCTCGCGAATCGTGATTCTGGCGAATTTCATTGGTCAAGTATAAGAGCATTGTTGCCAAATTCTCAAATCCTACTTAATATCAGGAAATAAAACCGATAAAACGAAGGTAAGTTAGCTATATCGGTGATATATATTTTATACAAGCATATCGAACTATTCGATGTATGGAAATTCTTGAGGAGGCTCACCCTCTGTTGCCTCCTCTGAGAAGCCGCCACTGCCCTACGAATTTTAGAGCAGTACCTTTCAAGGATTTAGAAATATTCAAGAAAATCTGGAAATAAAATTATTCTTCATCGACCTCTAATGGCTCAACCTAGTATTTTCATATATCGGTACAAGTGTAGAATTTATGGTACGTTATTCTGCGACACCTTATTGTATAATTATAAAAATAAGTTATGAGTTTTCAGAGCAACTGTTGTGAAATAATTTGTGCATAATATTTATTATGATCATAAATTCACAGTCCCTATCCCTACTATCGTTTCAACATGTACATTTCTCAGTTTCGTCATATTAATATTTGACTATGATTCTCCCGTGAGTTTCATATACATATATAAACAGGGTGTCCCGAAATTAGGTACAATTTGGTACAAGAACTAAACTTCCAATGCCCAATGCGGTGAACAGAAAATCATAACGTTAAATTCAATTTAATCTCGGATTATCAAAATCCACCCCATTTCACATAAAAAGGTGCTCCTGTTCCGCATCGATCAGATGTATCATTTTCAAGTAAAATCGATTTAAAAATATTGATGCACTAACATAAAAGCGCGAAAAATAGGAAAATGATGTTAAAGAAACTACTTCAATTTTTATGCATTTTTTTCCATTTCCACTACGCCTCATTGCAATGTTATGCATAATATCTGAGATGTAACAATATTTTCAAATTGCCTTTACTCGATAATAATACATCTGATCGTCACGGAACAAGAGTACCTTTTTTCTGTGAGAAGATGAGGAATTTCATAATCCAGGATTGAATTGTCGAAAAATATGCATACAAAAATTTTTGAGCAATATTTAATGTAGTCCCACCCTGTATTATTCACTCCTGATTGAAATTTTGAAATGATTTTATTTTCACTGCATTGAGCATAGAAAGTTCAGTTCTTGTACCAAATTGCATCTTTTTATCACGTGGAGTTTCGGAAATATTCAAGAAATATCATCTTCAGGAGCCCCCTTACAGGCGGCCGTAGCTCCCTTAGGAGACGTTTCTCATGTTCATTGGAGGTTTTCTTTCTTTTTTTTTTGTCGTGAAAGCCGCTGGTGAAGTTAGGCAAGCTAATTTCGGGACACCCTGTATAAGCAGAATTATATTGAAAACGAAATTAGAGAATATTAGTTTTAACTTTTAAGGAACTACATCTACCATCCAAGTGTCAAAAGTCTAACAAAAAAAAAAACAACTGAATGAAACTCTGGCCAATGATTTCGGTCTCACACGGTGTATTGTTTCATTTTGTGAATTCGTGTATTTCCAGAACTTGATCCAGCTTGTTGTATCATCGCTATATGCTACATACTCTAAGGTTCAATTAATAATGTTTTATGTCATATTTCATATGTAAATGTCAGGATGTCTATGACGACTGACATTGGCGGGATTCCGGACCTAGAGAGAGTTTTTTTAGGGCTGGGTCGAGAATCAAAAGCTTTGTAATGTTGAACAGATTATTAAATAGTAATAAATCAACACGGTGATTTCTTTAATAATCATACATGGTGGCAGCGGTAAAAAGAAGAAAAAACTCCAGGAAGTAAGCAGGTGAATGCTGAGCTATCGGTGATAGGGTTATCAAAAGCATTCGGGAGCTGAAATTGGGGACACAATGCTTGGTGGCGGAGGTAGTAGCGGTAATGGTGATAGTGTTGCCTCATCAGGTAATACTGGGAATAACCTGAACTTGAATGTGTCTACTCCAGACAAATTCAATTTTTCGATACCAGCTGGGTGGCCACAATGGAAAAAGCGGTTCGAGCGTTATATGAAGGTAACTGGTCTTCACACGAAAAATGAGGAAGAGACGATAAATATCCTACTCTATGTCATGGGTGAAGAGAGTGAGCAAGTTATAGTTCAGTTTGCTCAGACACCAAGCCAGCCAACCATCGTGTGACATCAACATCAGTGTGATGTAACAACCTTGCATAAATTCAATATCTCGTTAAAACATCTTATCGACGTAGATTCGATATCAACGTCGCAAGGTGACATCGCAACCAGGAAACTATGTAATGTGGCAGCGACTTCTTCAAACTACATCTCTTCGACGTTAACTAAATAATTCACATTGATATCCTCATGAGATATCTTTGTGACCTGTGATTGTGACGCAGACATGCGCAAAACGAACGCACACGCCAGACGCCATGTTGAGCTGTGCATGGCCATGTCAATCAGTCAGTGAGTGAGTCCGACTCCGTACAGACTATTTCCTTCCAAATTCTCTGTTGAAATATATCTGAGATGATTTATAGCACATATTATAGCAGCTTCAAATTGGAGGTATACAATCATTTAGGTGACGGTGACGGTGAGTTCAATCACAATAGGTAATATTGTAATTATCTCTGAGATAGGAATATTGCAATCTAACAAGGTGGATGAAAGATCCCAAGATGATGTAAGTGTATCTGATATGTATCATTTATGAATAATGTATATTTGTATTGCTATATATATGTGTCATGTTTTACTTCAAGATTACTAATTAGGGTGATTGTCATGATAAGTTTTGTATCATCTGTTTATACTTTCGGAAAATAAACATTTTCTTCGTAAAGTTGAATAATTATTATTATTATATATCTCACGAATATCACAGGTACGGCGACCACATCATCGATGTCGCAGTGTGATGTATTTGTAATATGAAATGTACACTTGTATGTGACCTGGTAGTGATTTTTCATGTGATATCGCATTTCATGTCTGAACGACGTCACAGTGATGTTGCTTGAGTCGGACATTTTCACATCGCCACGTTGTATCGGTAACATGTTTGTGACTTCAAATGCGATATCGCATGTCACAAAGTGATGTGTTGTATACATCACTTATACATCTCATGGTTGGCTGGGAACCTCATATCAAGGAGCTCTAGATGCCTTTGATAGGTATTTCATACCTAGGCGAAATGTAATATGTGAGAGGTACAAATTCAACTCCAGGATACAAAAACCGGGCGAATCTATAGATTCTTTCATTACGGCCATACATACTCTGTCAGAGTATTGTGAATTCCAACACCTGAGAGATGAACTCATTCGTGACAGAATTGTAGTTGGTATGATAGATATTAAAACTAGCGAAAGGTTGCAGCTTCAACCTAATCTCACATTGCCAGAGGCTGTTTTAGCAGCGAGACAGGCTGAAATGCATAATCATCAGAATGCTGTACGCTGTACTAAGGCAAGGTGCAATGGCAGAGATTCGGGCAGTGGCTAAATCAGCGGGGCCGTCACGGAATAATGCAGGGAAGGCAAGTGCACGGGCAACAAGTCTTAATGCTAGCAGCAGCAATAATGTATCCAAATGTATATTCTGTGCTAAGGAGAGTCATCCAAGGGAAAAGTGTCCAGCAAGAAAATCAACATGCTCAAGATGTAAGAAATTGGGCCATTGGAGAATTGCTTGCAAATCTAAATTTGTTGGTAGTATTGATTGTGACACAGAGGTATGTGATGAAGAAAATGATGATACTCATTTTATAGGTTCAATATTTTGTAATGAGGTAAATAGTCTTTCTTTGGGCTCAATGTACAATGCAAATGATGAAAAATCAACAGAAAATGAATTTTGACAAACGTCATAATACAAAAAATTTGTCAGATTTAAATAAAGGTAATACAGTTTGGGTGACAGATCTTAGAATATATGGAACTATTTTTGAAAAGTTAGAAGAACCTAGGTCATATACAGTCAAGACAGAAAGAGGACTTTTCAGGAGAAATAGGTGGTTCCTAATTCATGCACCATATGAAAGTTTTGATGAAATGAATAATGAAAAGTGCTATGTAAATCCACCTGAATCATTAAGGCCTTCACTTGATAATTCCCAAACTGAATTACTGTTCAAAAATGAATGTGAGGTTACTGAGGTTGTAACTCCTGTAAGTAGGGATTCTTTAAAAAGTGAAGTGAATGAATTTCCTTTAAAACAAGAGAGTGATGTGGTTTCAGCTCATAATGAAAATACTGATATAGTAAAAGAAAAAACTTTGAGTAGGCCAACGAGAAATGTATGTAAACCGGCCTGGATGGAAGATTATGTTAGATATTAGAAATTGTATCAGTTTTATGAGTTATTTTAAATGGTACCGAGTTCTTGTACTTTTGAATATAAAAGAAGAGATGTTATATCATCGCTATATGCTACATACGAAATATGTAAATGTCAGGATGTCTATGACGACTGACATTGGCGGGATTCCGGACCTAGAGAGAGAGAGTTTTTTTAGGGCTGGGTCGAGAATCAAAAGCTTTGTAATGTTGAACAGATTATTAAATAGTAATAAATCAACACGGTGATTTCTTTAATAATCATACACAGCTCATTTCCAAACTCTTTACAGCGACATTGTTTTTTTTTTCATGAACGGAATATGACCCTCGAATGTTTATAGTACATATATTCCAAATAAGAATATATTGTCTAATTCAAAATTGTGGCGACTCGTCATACTAATGATCAAGTTCCACACTGGATTCGGGTTTCTTCAGTACCATCAAATACTTGGTACAAAATATAAATAGAATATGATAATGTGATCATCTATTGACAGATGTGATATTGTCTCCAATATTAACCGACTAATGCAAAGGTTTACCTCTCGTTATGGTATCTAACTCTGTTTGATTAGTTGAAATGGACTATACGTATTTCAGTACTGAAATTCACTGTATTAAAAATATCGAGGAAAATATATACTGTCGAGAAAACTGATTTGGAAATTTGTTATAATAGAGGTTCTCACCTTTCAGATGTATTGCTGGTTTCTCCTGCATACTTCAGGAACGCTTCCAAAACTACTTTCCGATTGCACTTCCTTCTTATTGTTTTACAGTATGCTTCTAGTTTGCTTTCATTTTCAAAGCACATTTCAGAGAAATTGAAGTAATTTTGTAATAGGTCGAAACATGGTGAACAAACGATATCAATTAGATTAGAGCATGCATTCTGAAAATACGAGTAATAATTATTCCGGAACTAGAATTAATCAATAGTGGCAAATTTCAACAGATTTTTTGAGCTTTTATTATTGGTTGATATACACTAGCAGTCCACAAAAATTACGATATTGATACGGATTTTTTCATACTGGAATTAGTGTGGTTTCAGGTATATTTTAGTGTCCTGAATAACGTCTCATATGTCCCCGAGGTAGTAAACTACACCAGGCATTTGGCAGCAATTTGAATGTCAAAAATCTTGCCCAGAAGTGATGTTTTACGATTATCTTGATTTCTCGTATTCCAATGAGGGTTAACTATATATTGTCCACCAGAAAGCGCTACTGAAACGTGAGGTCAGGATTGGTAGAACTGATTGATATACTTCTTATTTTAGTCTCATTTCGCATCTTCCTACCATATCTTCTTCTCCGTCAATATGAGAATTGGTCGTACCACATTGAGAATTAAAGATAGTAAGCCTGCTCAAGTCTTTTGATAACTTGGGGTTTTCTCACAGGAAGGAAGGAATGCTCGAAGTCGGGTTTTCTATTTGTTCAAGTATCCTCCATCATTTTTTTCGAATATTTTCGATAAAAGAAGCCAGTCTTTAGGGCTACATTTTTGGATTTTTGACTTTTGACACTGATTCATAGACCTCATGTTTTAGTAGCGCCAACTGGTGAGAGTGAAAATGTTAGCCCTCATCAAAAGATATGATGATTTATAACCAGATCACATCAGTGGGTTAGATACCTATTAATACTTACAATTTCTGGTAGATATTTCTTGAATCTCTCTTTGTCTACTTCACTTAAATGTATTTCATTGCCGGCGATTGGAGCAATACATAAACGACACAAACGATGCTCATTTTGTAGAGGAATGTCCAATATGAATGTCTTCTCACGTTCATTATCATCTTCTTTTTTTCTCTCATCTTTCAGATATTCATGTTTCTGTTCGGTGATGTAGGGTGTCAAAAAGTCTTCCACATAAATGCAATTTGACTTGAAGGAAAACGAATCATGCAGTTTGGTAATACACTCCTCGCATATAACGGGATCTACAGATAGTTCCCAATCCTAAAAATAAAGTTTAACTCCGATTATTATTTATATTGAGGGTGTTTCAGTTTGTTTCAGTCTAATTTCAATGGGACATCGTGGGGTGAGAAAAAATACCCTTTAAACATCGGTCCGAAAACGATTCGTTTCCGCCATACAGGGTATTGAACTGTTAAAATGTTTGTTTCATCTCTGATATCTCTAAAATCCCAATTGATATTTTTTGAAACTTGGTTAACTTGTTCGTGTTACTGGAATCACATCTCTAAGTATACTTAAATTAGCATAGTATAGTCCAGTGGCACCACGGGAGAGGTTGCAGTTCATATTTGATTTCATGCTTCATTATTTTTCTAAGTTCTGCAATTGAAAATGAACTTTTTTCATAATCTGAATTTTGACGTACCTATCTCGCTCTGTTTCAAAAAATAGTTATTCATGTACCAAGGCGTTACCACGTTACCACCGATAAAACAAGGCCAGCAGACTCTGACGTAAACAGCTCGTGACGTCGCATACTCAGGCCATCTTCCGAGGCATTCGCGTCGATCGATCGTCAGTTTGTTTTTGTTTAAGAACGGTGGCGTAGGTAAATCGCGTGTGCTCGAATTCTCTTGTTGTTTATTCATCAAAATAATTGGCGGAGAAATTACTGTTTTGTGAAATATTTCGTGTTGTGATAGGCGAAATAACAATGCCTTACAAGTGTTGTGTTCCCTTTTGTCGGGGGAATTATGTGGGTGGTTCAAAAGTTCATGCTTTTAGTTTCCCGTTGGACAAGGACATTCAGGTACAGTCAAATCGATGTAGTTCGTTGTAAACAGATCCTACATTCGAAGAAAGACAAATGTCGTTATCTCATGCAGAAAATGTATTCAAGTTATTAGGTGAGCGTGAAAAATATGTCATTTTAATGATGGATGAAGTTCATATAAAGCCATATTTAGATTACAAGGCAGGCAATATTGTAGGAACGGCATTTAATAATTCATGTTTAGCAAATTCCGCATTTGTCTTCATGATAGCAAGCGTTATGTCAAATGTGAAAGAAGTTGTTCATATAAGTCCAACATCAAAAATAGATCACCTCATGATTTTTTCTTCAATAAAGAGAGTCATAAATAGATAAGAGGAAATTGGTTACAGAATATTCTGCATTATCAGTGACAATAATGCTGTCAACAGTAAAGCTATGAGTAATTTTGCAGAAAAACCAAAACTCAGTATTGTTTATCCTCATCCCGCCGATACATCACGTCCTCTTTTTCATCTTTTTGATTCTGTACATTTGTTGAAATGCATAAGGAATAATTGGCTCAATTCAAAACCAGATCAGAAATTGAATTATCCCGATTTTGAAACAGGGGTTGAAAGAGTTGCTTCTTTTCATAGTTCAAAAACCCTTCACGAATTAGAACATGATAAATTATTAAAATTTGGATATTCGTTGAACCTGAAGGCGCTATTTCCCTCGAATATGGAAAGACAAAACGTCGCTTTGGCTCTCAAAATTTTCAATGATTTCATAGTACACGCTCTTTTGAAATTTGGATCAAACATTGAAAACTCTGAAGGCACTGCTGGATTTATCAACCTGATACTCAAGTGGTGGAAAATTGTGAATGTCAAAACACCCCTCAAGGGCAAACGTTTGAATGATGTGTTTCAAGAACCTATCACAGCTATAAATTTTTGTTCCGATGAAAAATTCATTTTCTTGCATAAAATGATAGATTGGTTAGAAACTTGGAAATCTGCAAATTCTATTCTGGTAACCGTAGGCCTGCATGCTCCGTGGGTGACGTCACTTAGTCAGGCCTAACCAGCGGCTCGAAACGACAAGCGCTTATAGCGCTATAAGGCGACCGCGTATTTCGATTTTAGTTTTAGATCATCATTGAGCCGATTTTGCTGTTTTTTGAAGGGCTTCCGGTTAAAAAAGGATGCCAGTCGTCAACTGAGCCCTTCTTCGCACCCCATTCGATTTTATTATGGAAAAACGAATTTTTAAAGCAAAAACCAGGATAAAACACAAATATCCACCTACAGCAACCCATTCGAATTAAATATATTGGCAAAAATTGTGGTGAAGGTAAACTTCACACCTACTTATACAGGGCCCGCAGAACTTAAACTTATCGTGAGATTGATCGAAAGAAAATTGTGGAAAATGTATTTTATTTTGATTGACATGCCGTTTGTTACAATTACCTATATTTATCTTGGAGAATTCCTATTACCTGAAAAAATACCATAAATGCAGTTTTACCTCTTTTGGGTAGAGTGTTTGTAGTTCATGTTAATATGATAGTTGCAATTTGATCATTGGAATGAATTCTGCATTCATTGCCACGAGGCAAATGACCGTTTTCAGAAAGAAATTTGAGAATGAGAATTAAAAATGCCCGTTTATTATGAACATTAAAGAAAATTTCCTCGAATTCAGAGATGATTTTGTTGACTATAATATACGAATACAAAACTAACTGCACAATCAAAGCTTTTCTATTTTTCCTCTACTTATACTTTTTATGAGGGAGTAATTGTCTTCTATTATTAATTCATCATTATAAATTAAGCTCTGTTTACTACTGAACTTAGATACTTAGATGGAGTAAAATCCTCGCGGTGAATTGCATATACTTACCCACATTTTCGATAGCTCCTCGTCCAACGGGAAACTAAAAGCATGAACTTTTGAACCACCCACAAAATATTTCACAAAACAGTAATTTTTCAGCCAATTATTTTGATGAATAAACAACAAAAAGAATTCGGGACCGTTTCAAAAACATACGTGAATCACCGATGAATTAACACGAACTGATCGACGCGTTAGTCGACAAGCGATAAAATAAAACACTGGCCTCACTTGGCGACGTCACGAGCTGTTTGCGTCAGAGTCTGCTGGCCTTGTTGTATCGGTGGTAACGACCAAGGACAATGTACCAGTTATTCATGTACCAACGACGGAACATTGTCTATTATACATATACAGGGTGTTTCGAAATTCGACCGACAACGTTTGACAGGTGATAGCCCTCGTGATTTCATAATCATTGAGATAGGAACATTCGGTCTTCAAGTGTTCAGTTCTCGAGATACAGGGCGTTGAAGTTGAGAAATGAAAATAGTTGTTTCGCAATATCTCAAGAATAATTGAATATAATGCATTCAACTTCGGTATATGGTTTCATCTTTGAATGGGCCATTTTTTGACCTGGAAGCCATTCCGGACATTTTGTCCAGTGGTGCCCTACAGGGGGTTGTGGCATTTTTTCCTTCCATATTTTCTACGCCACTGATTGAATTTCGATTATTTCCAATTCCTCGAATTCATTGTTCAATTTTGTTCAGAAAATGCATCACCTTCAACTGAGCTGAAATAAACAGTTTTCGAGATATTCGACCCAAAATAGAAGATTGCATAGTAATATTTCATCATTTTCAGTAGTAGAAAATTGCAAAAATATTTTTCTGGTGTTGAGTAGATTAGATACTATTCAGATCTCATTCTGTAGCTGAACAGAAATAGTTATTTCACGCATAAAGAGAAAACAAAATTTTTTGTAATCTTCTACTACTGAAGAAGATGAAAAATTACAATGCAAACTTCTATTTTGGGTCAAATATCTCGATAACTGTTCATTTTAGCTTAGTTGAAGGTGATGCAGTTTTTCAATATAATTGAACAATCAATTCGAGAAATTTGAAATAATCGAAATTTCATCAGTGGCGTAGAAAATATGGGAGGAAAAGTTATCACAACCCCCTGTAGCGCACCTCTGGGTAAAATTCTCGGAATGTCTTTCTGGTCAAAAAATCAACCATTGAAAGATGAAACCATATACCGAATTTGAATGCATCAAATTCAGTTTTTCTTGAGATATAGCGAAAAACCTATTTAAATTTCTCAACTTCAACGCCCTGTATCTCGAGAACTGAACACTTGAAGATCGTATGTCCCTATCTCAGTTATGAAATCACGAGGGCTATCACCTGTCAAGCGTTGTCGGTCGAATTTCGAAACACCCTGTATAGACAGTTTTTCGCAGAGGTGCATGTTACATTTTTTCACCGAGGTGCATATTACAATTTTCCGCTGACCTCAAAAACACATATATTCACATCACGGTTCTATTCACACGTGGAATCTATCAGATTTCGCGAATAATTAATTTGACAATAACATCAAACGATAGTTGTCAACTCACTCTCCGCGCGTATCAGGGTTGCCAGTTCCATTTTTATCCCATCAGTAAATACCTTGTCAAAAATTCAGTACATTTCAATTGATCTATTCAAGATCCCTCTTATGCTTTACGAATGCCAAGAAATAATAATGAAATAAAGCTATGACGTCAAAACATGATGTACTTTTAGTAAACAGAAAAGTAATACTCTATTTCCAACAAAATAGAAACAAACAAAACAAACATTCTCATACAAAAATAATCATACTCCTAATTCTCAATTCAAAAATACTCACAAAATATCACAAAATACAGTTACATAGGTACTTATACATAAGATTTGAGTAACGAATAGTAAAAATGAACAACAAAAATACAAAAAAAAACTTAACGTAAGAAACAAACTGTTATAACAGGTATACAGGGTGTTTCATAATTGAATGCTGATCCTAAAGGGCGATAATCCTTGGATGATTTTAAGGAAAATTCTTCATTTGAACATAGGTCCGTAACAGCTTCGTTTCTGAGATACAGGATGTTGAAATTTAACAAAAAAATCAGTTATTCCCCAATATCTCTGAAACCGCTTTGGCTTTTTTCTTCAATTTTGGTACATGCCAAGTATGAATAGAAATACATTTTTTCCATAATGAAGGATTTCTTAATTTCCATCAGTGGCGTCCCTGTTAACATACCCTGTCATATTTTTCATCAAAATAATAGTAAAGAAGCTACAAGAGAACGGCCCCATTTCGACCACTTTTCCCATGTTAATCGCCATAAGAAAAGTTAAGGTCCATTCTGGTCATTTCTTACGCTTTCAAG